AATTACGCCCTGTCTAAGTCCTCCAAGGAAGAACACGACAAGAAGAGAGCAACAGCAGAAGTCCTTGAGTGTAACTAGTACAACATATTTAGGGCAACAAACGAATGTAAAACTATGTCCATCGGGCCAATCAGCTTCTGTCCTGGCCTGGCTGGCGGCACGATTGGCTTGTGACTCAGCGGCAGGCTTCAGTTTAAATTTGAATTATCGATTGATTGGCTGCAAGTTTGTGTTCGCTCGCGTGAAGGCTGATCGATAGCCTGCCTTGAGCGCGGCTCGCTCTTGAATGCTAGCTGCCTGCTTGCTCCTCCTAACAGACAGAGTACACAACAAGCCCTCCCTGAAAACCATCCACCATCTGTGGACGCACAGCGCGCCACATCTGGGCTAACAAGCATGGCTTCGAGAGCTCCCCGCTAACAGACATTGAACAACGCTCGAGAACTTTCTTCCATTAAAAGGTCAATTTAAAAAAAATTAATGACCAGCTCATGACGGAAGTGGAGCAATACTATGAAGACATCAGAAGCGCAATCACAGCATGCAGGAGACAACTACAAAGCAAAACTGACCTCGTCATCGTCGGGAGTTCGGGAAGAAGGCACAGGCATGGAGAGGGTCTTCGAGTAGGCCTGTTCATATCGCTCGACCTCGGCGTTGGAAAGGACACCCGGTCGCCAGAGAAGACGGCAATCAAAGCCCAAATGTGAGTCTGTGCCGGGCGAATGAGAAGCGAGTGGCTGTGGTGTTACAACAGCCTGGTACTCCTCACCCACGCGCATTTCCTGTCGGTTGGAGGACCGGGGTGTAAGGCAATGGGTGTAGATGTGTTAAAGAATTAACTACCTCAGAGTTAACGAAAATCAACTGAACGCCCACTGGGGGTCAGCGGAGAAGACAATCAAGACAGCACAGCATACGAACCCAGGACTAAGTAAAGGAGTGCGAAAAAAAGGTGGAGCCAGTTGTCGGATTTTGTCCACGAAATGCTACTGCAAGTATGTAGGCTAAATTGGGTGAAGGCTAAAATCGTGGGAAACGGGAAGACATGTGGCTGCCGCCCTCACGGTCTCAGGTTAGAAGGCAGCAAGATAATCAGTCCGACCGTCAGGAACACAGATAGGAATATAACGGGGGTGGATGGAGGCCGGAGTTCCAACTAGAACTAATGCAGAGTGTGGAACAACAAAACAAGGGGGAAACGAAGTATGTAGGAGGCACCTTTTTTCGACGAGAGGCTCGTGGGAGAATTCGAAACGTTGAGTGAATAAATAAGTGGTCATGCAAAGGTTACCGTTCAGCCTTCTATTCAATTTTCAGCGTCTCGCGTACATTCTATCAGGCGGAATCTATATTTGTATACCCGCAGAAGGCCATTACTCTCCGAGACGCGGAAGATTGGGGATGGTCCTTTCTGGCTTATTAGCCGTCATCATGCAGCCCTAACGAACCTCGATTTTGCAAACCCTGAGTGTCGAAACCGCTACCCATTGGGTAGATGCCCAACACCCTAACCATTGAGTCATGGCCTCCCTCTCCTACCACATGCGATCGGTAGGACGGGCACATGCAACCGTGAAACAGGTGGTCGGCGCTCGAGACTGAACCCAAAGAAAAACGGGACGAAAGTGTCCCAAAAAGCGAGGAGTTAACACGCCTTTATCATTACAGGCAGAAAGACATGAGACAAGGAAGACTGTCTCGGCCATTTATGGCTTGTTAGCCGTCATCAGCCAGTCACACACACAACCCCAGTTGTGGCACCTGATATATGATTTCGTCCGTCTGAGGAGACGAATTGCACTACTGTTATAAGTGAGGTGTGCATGAGGCTGCTTCTAAAGAATCCTATTCTTATATAGCCCAGGAAAGTGGAAGACAAGGGCTTTGAGCCAAGTACTCCGTCTGTTCGAAACGCAGTCTCACTGGTGAAGATAAAGTTTTCAAAGCAGGGATTTGATGAAGTCAGAAACCAACGTTCTAGTCACGCGTGAGAACTACAACCGATGGACAAGGTTAGACGCATGATTAAAGAGCGCGCGCGCGCACCCATATGAAAAATAACGAGGGCATTAATATATGCTTGCACAGGACGCCGACGCTGAGAGGGCTTTGAGTGACGGCCGCCATAAAGCAGCCTTGTACGACATCTACCTCACACCTACAC